CGCTGAAATGCCCCCCCGCGGAAGTCCCCGCCCGCTCGCGCCCTCGCCCGCCGGAGTCTGCCCCGCTGATGTCTGCGCCCGCCGGCGTCTGGGACTCGTCGAGCCCGCGTCCATTGACGTCCGCGCCCATTGTAGTTTACGCCCGCTGATGTCTGCGCGCGCTGGCCCCTGCGCCCGGCGGCGCGCGCGCCCGCCGGGGATTGCGCCCGCCAGCGGCTGCGCCCGCTGAAGTCTGCGCCCGCGGGGGCCGGCGCCAACGGGGGCCCGCGCCCGCCGGCCAGCGAGGGCCCGCGCCTGACAGCGCGCGCGTCAAATAATTTCCTTGCCACCTGAACGAAGTCTGCGACCCCTGAAGGCCTGCGCTCGTTGAAGCCTGCGCCCGCCGACCCCGGCGCCCGCAGAAGTGGGCGCCCGTGGAGTGTCTGCGCCCGTTGGATTCCGACCCCGCTGAAGTCTGCGCCCACTGAAATCCACGCCCGCTGGAGTCTGCGATTGCGGACGCATTCGCCCGTCGAATTTTCTTCCTGCGAAGTCCGCGCTCGCTGCAGCCCGCGCGCGGTGGCGCCCCGCGCCCGCTGAGGGCCGCGCCCGCCCGAAGCGCTCCCGCCGAGGTGCGCGCCCGCTGCCGGCGCTGCCCGGCTGGGTCAATTTGGCGCGGTGCTCCGCGAAAAACGGGCCGCACGTCCGCCCTCGAGCCGTCTCCCACGCAGCCCTCGCCCCCCTCCCCCCTTCGCGCGCGTTTAGTCAACGTCCGATTTTCCCCTTTTGACCCCGTCGTTCCCTGCTTGCCCCTCCTCCCCCGCAGCCTTTTTTCAGATGTCGCGCCCTCTTCAACCGATCGTTCCTTCTCTCTTGCTCCCAGCCCGCCCCCGCGGCGTTCCAGCGAGGCCTCGTTCACGAGCGGCGTTGCGCGGGCGGCGCTTCGATTTGGGGTCGCGCGCTTCGGCGCGCGCGCGCGACGACGGATCGAGCAGCGCGCGCCGCGCGGCCCGCGCCTCTCCCCCCCCGCCGCGGGCGTTTGGGCATCGTCCGGTTGATCCCTTTCTGACCCCGTCATTATCTGTTTGCTTCCCCCTTTCCCCCAGCCTTTTTCCGTTGTCGCGCCCTCTTCAACCGATTGCTCTCTCTCGTTTGCGCCCCGCCCACCCCCGCGGCGTTCCAGCGAGGCTTCGTTCGCGAACTCCGCTGCGCGGGCGGCGTTTCGATTTGGGGTCGCGCGTTTCCGCGCGCGCGCGTGCGCGACGACGGCGCAAGCAGCGCGCGCCGCGCGGCCCGCGCGCAGGGCGTCCGCGTCGCCGCGCTTGCGCGCCCCTAGAATCTATGCATCGACGCCGGCGTCTTGCCCCTGAGCGCAGGCCGCGCGACGCGTCGGGGCGCGCTTCAGATTGGCCCCCATGGCGTTTGCGGTGGCCCACCAAGAACCATCGCCGCAGAGGCGAATGTCGCCTCCATCGCCGCTCGAACACCCCCCTTTCGCGACCTGAACCCCCCGAGGCATGCGCGAGCCGTGGCAGCGGGGGACAGTTGTGCAAGGCTAGATTTGAGCGTGCTTTCGGATTGCACGTTCGAGACGGCTGCCCCCAGATTTCGCGCGCGCGGACAGGGCCGTGCCACCATTGATATCCAAGGGTTCGGGGGGGTCGCCCACAATGTTACCGCGGCGTTTTTTTGGCGGCGACGCGTTCGCCGAAGAGGGCATTTTCGAAGAGCAGGAGGACATGATGCAGGCTTACGATTATTCCGAACCGGCGCTTTCAAGCAGGCCGCAGATCCTGGGCCGCCCATGCCCGCGCTGTCCCATCTTCTGATAGCTAGAGAACTTTTGACGTTGTCGAACTCGATGATGGCACGCGTGCGCAGCTCGCTCGCACACTGAAGTTGGGAGGGCCTGCTAAAGACAGGCATAATCGCGCGTAGCTTCGCGTGGCCACTCCCTGGCGCTGCGATCGACAAGGTGCGCGGTTTGCTACGCATGCGCAGGATCGACAGCCCAGTTGCAAGCAGGCGTTTCTGGCTGGGCTTGGTTTGGTTCCTGAAGCCGGGCCAGGCTGCGCGTTCTTTGTCTTCTGGCCCAGGCCAGGCTACTCGACGCGCCAACCCCATCCACATCGTCGGGCCACGCCCTAGAAGAGCAATTGCCCGCCGTGCAAGTTCTCCATCGCTGCGAAGATCCAGCCTTGGGGGCCTTCAGCGGGCGCCCTCGCGTTCGCGGGGAACGGGTGCGTGTGATGTTTCGGTGCCGGAGCCATTCGACATCGGCGTCCGCACCCTTGGCGGCATCACCGTTGGCAGCGGAGGCATTTGTGAACACAATTTCCCATTCACGATCAACAGTCGAGTGGGGATCGAATCCCACGTTGGCTTGGACTTGGGTGTTTTTTTGTTCGTTCAGTTTCGAAACAAGTGGGACCAAACTTGGCGCTGGAATTGCAACGGGACTCACTGCTGGCAGGATCGCCGTAGTCGACGCTTGTGGGCGGGAGGCACCAGGAGGCGCAACTATGCCTGCGACTTTTGGGTGCATGGCAAGACGTGGTTCATGATCCTGATGTTGGCCTAGATCGGATATTGGATTGGTCACAAGGCTTGGGAATTCATCTTCAGCCTCGATGCGTGCTACTTGTGGTAGTGCACTATTTACGGTAGTGCAGGACCAGTATTCTGGCAAAGGGGTTCCAAGTCGCGCGGACTTCTCGAGACACCCGAGCATGAAGCATCTGAGCGGGAGTTCGCCTAGGCTCACCTCCTGTGTACCTCTTGCCCTATTCGTTCATTGCACCCACCGTGTCTTGTTTTAATATACCGAACGTTCGTTTTTCCATGCTCGTCGTTTCCCAGGTCATGTTTTGAAGACGCCGAGACGTGATAAGCCTCGAGGCAAATGCTGGAAGCTATATTCGGGTTGCCAGTCCACTTGCGACAGCTGCCCTAGTTCTCACCATCGTGTCTGTCCTCGTTCATGCCTTCCCTCGCCTTCGCTGCTCGTCCTCCCTCCTTCCTCCCCCGCCGTTCCGTTTTCTATTAGCCTTTTTTCCATTCCTCAAGATGTTGGTCTTACCGCGCTCACTTCATGATGTCGCCTGACCTTGTTCTTATAGTCGGTTTTTGAACAGCAGCCGGTCTGCTCGAACTACGAATTTTTTGTCATTTGGTGGTCTGCGCTCCCAGCGACTTTCATTGAGCCTCGGGGCTGTGTTGAGACAGGCGCCGTGAGCCTATATTCTGCCTGTCAGATGGCTTGCGGTCGCGATCTTCAAGGTCATGCACATAGTGTTAGATCCTGCTGCCGAACATTTACCATATCCTCACCCCCCTGTCGCGATCCTTACCCCCTGCGTTTTCCTTCTTCGATCATGTCTCGTTCCCCATGCACGTGCTCCACCAGCTGGGCGTGCATTCTGCTTCAAGGCAGCTCCGTCTGCAGTGGAGCACCGAGTTTGTAGCATCCCTGAACAGGGTTGCCGAGTTGTGGTTGTTCGAAAGATTGCTCCCGTTTCCAAAACCTGTGTAAAGTTATGGAGTTGATATGACCGACTCGCAACACATGCATGTCAGAACCATTCGTATTTTCGTGGGCGAGTCCGGACAGCTTGAGCTTCGGATGGTGCGATGATTGTTGTTGGTGTTGGCATTTGTTTGCTGGTTTCAGTTCCCTCTCCCTCCCCTTTCTCGTTATTCCTTGAGCCGCTTATATCCCTATCATGTGTAGTATCGTCTCGTATCCCGCCTCCCCCATATTGCATCTCGCCTTCCCCGCCGTAGTAACACAGACTGCGTTCGCAGTAGGAGTCGGAAGTGTCCGACGTGGTTGTGGCAGTCGCAGGGGTAGTCGTATTCTATGTCGTAACCAAAGTCGCCAATGCAGTCGCAGGCATGTTCGCAGCACTACCTTTGACAGTACCTGCATCAGTAGAGGCCGCAGCAGCCGCAGCATCAGGAGATCTTGGGCAGTTGCATCAGGGTGAGTGATGATGATGACGATACTGATGACGTGATCGTGGTGATGGCGATTATGGTGATGTCGATGCTGATGATGAGGAGGATGAGGAGGATAAGGAGCATGTGCGATGATGAGGATGAGTAGTGTGATGGCGATGGTGATGGTGATGGTTTTACTAATGATGTGATAATGGTGGGGATATTGATGGTGATGTTCGTGGTGATGATTATGCTGATGAATATTGTTATGATGATGATGATTATGATGATGCTGCTGATGATGGGGCTGATGATGATTATGATTTTGATGATAATGAATTTGCTGATGCTGATGGTGATGACGTTGATGATGCTAATGCTGATGATGATGATGGTGATGATCATGATGATGATGTTGATGGTGACGATGAAGCTGACGATGTTGAGAAATACGAGGAGCAAGAGTCAGTTGCCAGGCCTCAGCGTCTAGCCGCCAATGTGGGGGAACCTTCCCGGCGAGCGAGCCCCGTGCCGCCCAAGGCTTGGATGTTTTTAGTCTTGGCGCGCCCCACGGCCATTAAGTATTCCTCAGAATTTGACACTGCACATCCGATCGATCTGATTCGATGTCGATTCCAGCCGGCCCGATCTGATTCGATATTCCGATTCCGTGCCTATACAGCCGGATCCGATGCACATTTCGATTCGATCTGATCTACCGATTCGTTATTGATTGTTCCAGCATTGTGCAGAAGTTCGAAGCGGAAACCCCATGATCAAGGTCAATGCTTTAAATTTCACGCGGATTTCTTTGGTCGGCTTTGGGCCCCCTTCAGTGGCGCCTCCGGCGCCGCCCCTGGCTCGTTCCGCGCGCCAGCGGGGGAACAAGGAATCCGCCCGGACCTCCGAAAGTTCTGTTGATTTCACTTCCTCTAAAATTGCGAGGCCGCTGCAGGTGTGGTGTTTTCTATGGCTCGAGCTGGTCACCGTGAGCACAGAGCGCGGGTGCCACTCTCGTACGACGGCTTCCTGCCGTATGACTCCATCCACTTCACCGGCTCCCCCTGCCCCGCTCTTGCCAGGATCCAGCGGTGAGGAACCAGCTCGGTTTCTCTGCAGCCCCCTGGAGCTTGCGGCTGTGGCATGGTCAGGCGCCGCGCACGCTCGCGCGACAACGCCGCTCTGCATGCCGCCCCGGATCTTGCCGTCAGTCGTCTGAAAGAGGTACATTCTAGTTTGCATGTTAAGGGTTGGGTGGTATTACGTCTGTGGAGGGTGGCGAACCTCATCTCAAGAAGAGCTTTGTGCGTTCGAAACCCTACCTGGCTCAATTAGTGCATTTTCCAATCCGATATAGCAACGCCATATACCCGTCGGACCATGCCGCATTGAGGTACACCTGCCGTAGGTCTGCGCGCATGGAAAGGCGGCGTGTAGTAAAAGAAGAGAAACATACAATTGAGGAGGAGAGAAACATGTTGTAGCAGAAGAGAACATACACATGAAGAGGAGCGTCATAGCATAGTATGCCGTACCTCAACATGATCAAACGCGACGTGCTCGCCGAAGTCAGCCTTGCCACAGGTACAAAGAGGCGCAGCAACGACCGATCTGACGACGTATCTAACGTGACAGACGTCACGGCGTCACGCCGTCCCATCGACAACATAACAGATCACATTGCAGCATAGCGTCATAGAATCGTAATGAGCAGAACAGACTTGAAGACAACTGATTACAGCGACGACAAATCAAGAGCGCACTAGCATCCGCGCCTGGCCATGGGACACAACTGGCGCGGCAACGACCGATCAGACGACGTAGCAAACGCGTTCGGCATCACGATGTCGCGCCGCCCCGTCGAGATCAAGACAAAAGCAAACAGATGTGCATAGAGCAGAAGAGAACCGATCACAACGCGATAGAGTATACTGTAGAAGAAACCGAGTACTCGCGTCCTCTCATACGCGACATGCGCGCCACGCCCAGGCTCTCCACATAAGCAAACAGTAGCAGCAACGACCGATTAGAAGCAATAGCAATTGTAAAAAAGGCGTCACGACGTCACGCTGACCAGTCCACACCAAATCATAATATAATGTCATTAAGTGCACTTGGCCAGAGTCGTACTGAACATAATAAAACACAATCTTACGTATACGCCAGCCACCACGTCACGGCGTCTCATCAAAGGCGACATGCGCCCCGTTGTCAGAGGAGGACGGGGCGTTTTGAGCAGGAGGAGGCAGGAGAGGTTCGCCTCACCTCCTCCTCCTTCGTCGTCCGCCTCCTGCTCCTCGCGCTGTTGCTGCTGCTGCTGCTCCTTGTTCAACAGGCTTGGTACTCTCTCCGAACAAGTTCTGGGATCTCGGAAGACTCGTTTTGTGGGCTGGGTTGTCGCTCCGGGGACTTGTTTCAACGTGCAACCTGGCCCGTCCGCCGCGCTGACCGAGACCGACGGGCCCCGCGCACATCGTTCCAGTAGGCGCGCGCACCGTTGGAAACAAACCCCGAAGGTTTCTGTGGGATCGGTTGAAGCAGAATCGGAGGTGAGGGGGTGAGATCGAAGTGGAACGGAGAGCCCCCCTACCGGGAAATCGGTTTCGGTTTCGTGTTCGTGCGTGCCGTGCGTGCGGGCGAGGCGAAGCTGCGTGGGTGGGCGAGAAGGAAGTCTCCTGCGGCTGAGGCGCGGCCGGACAAAATGATTCCTGACCGGGGGCTGGTGGCGCGCGGTGTCCCGCCGGTGTCCCGCCTCCGGCTGAGGCGCGGCCGGACCAAAAGATTCTTGACCGAGGGCCGGTGGCGCGCGGTGTCTTGCCGGTGTCCCACCACCGGCTGAGGGGCGTCCGGACCAAATGATTCTTGACCGGGGGCCAGAGGCGCGCGGTGTCCCGTCGGTGTCCCGATGATGATGATGATGATGATGATGATGATGATGATGATGATGATGATGATGATGTCGATGATGTTGATGATGATGGTGATGATGGTGATGGTGGTGATGATGGTGTCCCGATGATGATGATGATGATGTTGACGATGTTGATGATGATGATGACCATGATGGTGATGGTGATGATGATGGTGTCCCGATGATGATGATGATGATGATGATGATGATGATGATGATGATGATGATGATGTTGATGTTGATGTTGATGATCATGATGTTGCTGATGATGATTGTGTCCCGATGATGATTATCATGATGATGATGTTGATGATCATGATGATGTTGATGATGATGAGACGATGGTGAGATGATTATGAGACGATGATGGTGATGAAGATGATGCTGATCGTGTCCCGATCATGATGATGGTGATGAGGTCGATGATGATGATGCTGTTGATGATGGTGATGATGATGGTGTCCCGATGGTGGTGATGCTCATTATGTTGATGATGATGATGACGATGGTGGTGTCCCGATGATGATTATTATGATGATGATGTTGATGATGAGGATGATGATGAGATGATGATGGTGATTTTGATGATAATGGCCCGACGTTGGTGAAGATGATGATGCTCATGTCAATGATGATGGTGTCCCGATGTTGATGCTGATATTGATGCAGATGATGATGATGGTGACGATGATGATGGTGTCCAGATGATCATGATGCTGATGATGAGGTTGCTGATAATGATGATGGTGTCCCGATGATGATGGTGATGATGTTGATGATGCTGTTCATGATGATGATGATGATGATGTTGATGATGAGATGATGATGCTGATGGTGGTGTTCCGATGATGATGATGGTGTCCCGATGCTTATGCTGTTGATGACGATAATGACGTTGATGGTGTCCAGATGTTGATGATGATGATGATGATGGTGATGATGATGATGGTGAGGAGGTGATGACGATGATGATGGTGTCCAGATGATGATGAGGTTCATGACGTTGATGAGCATGATGTTGATCATGATGACGTTGATTGTGAGATCGATAGTGAGATCGATAGTGGGACCGAATGTGAGATCGATTGTGAGATCGATAGTCAGATCGATTGTGAGATCGATCGAATGAAGTGAGATCATTTGTGAGATCGATCGAGTGAGATCGATGGAGCGAGACCGATAGTGAGATCGATAGTGAGCCCGATCGAGTGAGACATTGGTTCCTCCCCCCCCGAACCTCCTCATCACCCGAACGGTTGTCGTATAGGTATTTGTTGTCCACAGGTCTGGTGTTCCTTCAATTTTAACAGATTGGTTCCCCTCGGCGGCTTATCATTGCGATTGTTGTTGCTCCCCGAACTCTTGCGTGTTGCTGGTCCTTCTGCGTGGCATTGAGAACGAGAGCATTCCTTGCGTGACGATGCCAGGTGGACGAAGTCTTCGCGCGGCTGACTGTGCCGCTGTTTGAGGTCCAGGCCCCCTTGCCCGAGGCCTCGCACGCTCTCTTCTTTCATTGCTTCGCCTGCTGTTTGAGCCACGGCCAGGGACCAGATACAGACCCGTGTCAGACGAGGCATGTGTGGAGGGACTGGCTCGTTCGGACGAGCAACATTTCTGGTCGTTTTCGTGGATTGTCGGCGGCTGTCCAGCCTCGGGGTGCGTTCCAGCAGCTGCGCCTCACCGAAAGCGTTCCTGGGCTTGCCGGATCGTTCCGAACGGCCGGCGGAGACTCGAGTTATGACCCCAAAGCCAATGGCAGGGGGATCGGCTCAGGGGGGATGCTTCGAGCCCCGATGGCCCATTGACCGCCGGTACGGGTTTCGTAGCCACGCCCTTCCCAGTCACGTGCGATTTCGCGATCGGGGGCCTATCGTCGACCCATCGGAGACGTACCGCGGGTTCCAGCTCGATGTTTCACCCCCATGGGTCTGTGACCCCCAAAAGTTCTTCTTCAATGCTGACAGCTGCGTCTCTTGCTGTTGCAGTGCAGTCCTCGGCCATGTCATTTACAGGCCATGCTGGCCTCTGGGCGTGTGCAAAAAGTACGGCGCGTGCCGTACTGGCGTGCTATCTATCCTCAGCTTGAGAGGTGTAGTTTTCGTTGTGATCGTTGCTGGAATGCCAATGTATGAGATCTCAATGGTGCGTCATATGTTTCGCGTGCTTGGAACACGTGCGCGAGCTGCATCTCTCGTTGCACTGCGCGTGTAATCATAGGTCGTGCTTGAGTTATTCTCTGGCGCGCGTTTTCAAACTGCCTAGGATATCACCATGCACGCCCACTGGGCTCGCCCTTTCTCAGCGGGCGCTTGCCTTAGGGGACCGGCAGACCTTGCCGACGCATGGCGTGGGGATGTGTTGTGACGGTTGATTGCATCGCAGCATTCGTTTTTTGTTTTTTGTTTCGTTTGTGTGTGTGTGTGTGTGCGAGTGTGTGTTCGATTCGTCCACTTGTTCAACGTAGTTGCATGGATGCTCTCCAGACTGCAGGTTAGCCTGCACGCGTCCGTGGCCGTCCTGCCCGCCCTTGCCTCGCTGCGTGAGGGGTTGGCCGGCCTCACGCTTGTGCCGCTCAAAGTACTTGCATATTCGACGCACCCGGACTCTGGCTCGCCAGCCTTGGACGCCCGTGTGGATTCATTCCCTGGCCGCGTGAGATAACCAAAGTGCGCGTGTGCATGTTGGTTTTGACGATTTCTCCGTTTTGTCAGCGCCGCTCGGCGATTCTGCCTCGGAGCCGCCCGCGCGCGATCTTCGGGCGTCCAGACTTCCTGCGCCGCCTCGCAGGGGCACCTGTGCGCCCCGAGGGTATCCCGCCACCGTGCTCCGCTAGTCGGGCTCACTGGCGCGTCTGAGGAATAAGTGTGTGTGTGTGTTTGTGTTTGTGTTCGTGTGTGTGTGTGTGTGCGTGCGTGCGTGCGTGTGTGTTTGATGTATGTTGATCCGCCTCGTGGTGTCTCGCGTCTCCTCCCCGTCTCCCTTCTCTTCTCATAGTTCCTTCGCCTGGTCGGTGCCTTCCTCATATTCTTTATGCCCCATCGTCTCCGTTTCCCCTTCCTCACATTGCACATCCCGCCTCCCGCGTGACCGGCACCAGTCTCCTTCCTGCCCTCCTTCCTGTTTAACGTTCCCAGATATGGTTTGGTTGTCTCTCTCTCTCTCTCTGCCACTTATACATACACATATATATATGTATATATATATATAGCATGTATCCTTTTCTCCCTCTCTCTCTCTATCCCACCTTCCTTTTTCATCAATCCAGTGTCCCTTCATCTTCCTCCTCCACTTCCAGGAGATTTCACCACCTTTAACTATTTCGTAGTTGCTGCTTGCTGACGGCGGTTCGTACCGCCCTGCCTGTGTGGGTGGTGGTTGTCCCTGCGTGGTTTCGGGCCTTGGTTCCTCTCTCGGTCGGTGTCCCTCCGCCGTGGACTTTCTCTGGCCCTCTTTTCGCTCGTCGTTTCGGGCCCTCGTCCGGTCCCCCTTGTCGCCCGTGCGGCCGTGTATAAATCAAATCTTCCCTGCAGCCTCATGCTTCTTGTCACGTTGACTGTTGCGGCCAGGTGCTTTCAGATGGCGTTCCCTCCCTCCTGGGCTTCCTCCGTCCTTCTCTGCCCTCATCGTCCTTATTCTCCCCTCGCTTCCGTTCGCATCCTCCTGCTCTTTTCGCCTCCCCTCCGTCTCCGCCCTCATTCTCGTCCGCACTCATCTCTTCGCACGCTCCCCGGACCCCATCCATCTCCATCCCTCGACCTTCCTCCTCCTCCCCCTCCTCCTCCCCTTCGTCTTCCCATCTCCTCTTCCGTCCCTCGTCCCCTCCCCCCTCCATCCTCCGACCGCCCCTGTTCCCCATCCCCCTCCTCTTCCCTGCCCTGCTCCCTTCAACCTCTTGGGGGTGTCTAGCCGTTTCGCTCGAGCTGATTCCAGGCGATCGGAACCATGGATTAAGGGGGCGTGGATTACATAGGAAATCTCTGATTTCAGCCGCCGAACGAGGCGGCACCGGCCGCATTTTGGGGAGGGCACCTCCCCCCATCCATGGATTTGGTGACCGCGCGCCAGATCCATGGATCGCTAATCCATGTTTGCGCGCCCCCGATGATTCAGGTGAAACTCGAGCCTGTGCCCACGTACTTGCGCAGTTCTCGCCACGGCAGCGTGCGCCCGCTGCCGATGGCAAAGCAGGACGTGTAAAAAGGACCGCGAACGCTGCCGTGGGCGTGCGGGTGCGGCGAGGTGGCCAATTGGGCGTCGCAGATCGCCTGCCGCGGCTTTGGCAAGGCTGCCCCGCAACGCATCCAGGCGGCGGCGCGAGCAGCGGCGAAGGCGGCGCCGGCTGCAGTGCCAGGCGGGCGTCGGCGCGTCCCGCAGGGCAAGTGGGCGGCAGGCGGGCCTGGTTCCAGCGACGTTCTGCTCAAGACGGCTCGTTATTTGGAAGGCAAGGTCGCCAAGCTCTCGGTGTCGGAGAGTCCTGGCAAGCAGCCGCCCTAGAAGTCCCAGGCCACAGCTGGCCCAGGCTCTGGGGCCAAGGGCCTCTGTCTCTCGCCGACGTTGTGCTGTTCCTCGAAGGCGGAGGGATCGGCACGGCTAAGGTGGAAGAGGCGGAGAAGGAGAAGGCGAAATTGCTGGCCGCTCCGAAGGCCCCGTCGGCTCGCACGGCGCGCTGGAAGGTCGAGAACTTGCGGGCCAACCAAGATCGTCAAGCTGGAAAATCGCGTCCATCGAGGCTGATTTGTTCGAGGTGAACGCCTCGACGGGGGCGTGCAGGGAGGAGCTGGCCAAGGCCGAGCTGACCCTGTTCCGCCTGTAGGCAGAGGAGACCGCCGACCCGCTCGTGGCCGTCAGCGCGGCCCTGGACGAGAGTGTCGGTATGGCTCAGGCAAGCGCGGCGGCCCTGGCGGCCCTCCAGCGACTGCAGTCTGAGGCGGCGGTGGCCAAGCCGCTCTCAGCGGCAGCAGCGGGGAAGTCGGCGGCGCTGGTGTTCCTTCTCATGGCGGCGCAGCTGCTGGGGCCGGCGGCGCTGAAGTCCCCGTCGACGACGGCGACGACGACGTCGACATGGAGTTGATGGAGGGCGCGGACTTTGCTGACCAGAGGCGGCAGTTGGGGCGGCCGTTGAAGAGCTCAAAGCAGCCACAGGGGGAGGTGGTCGGGGCAGCCAAGCGGAAGTACATGGATGCGGCGGCCGCCCTCGGAGCCAAGCGGGCCAGGAGGTCGCTCGTTTAGCTCGCTGGGGGGGCCCGCATGTCCGACCTCGGGCAACACAACACGGCGGACGCTGAGTGGGAGGCGGCCAGTTTCTCTGTCCCAGCGGCCCTTCGGGAGCTGGTGTTCGATTCGATGCTGTTCCGCGACATTCTCTCGAAGGTGGAGGCATCGCCTGGGGAGTCGTCGGCGTCGACAGCTGCCGAAGGGCCTGCGTGGCCCAAGGGCCAGTGGCCCGATGTGCAGGGGGGCCGGGATTCAGCCCCAGGAAGTCACACCCCTCTGCCCCCATGTCCATCCTCGGCCTTGGCGCCCGCGGTTTCTGGGGCGGATTCCCGCGCAGAGGCTTCGCGGCAGGTGGCCAGGCCATCGCCCGGCCTTCCTAAGAAGGCTGAGACCACCCGTTTGCGCGAAATGTCCGAGACCCTTCGGGCTGGTGGGCAGCCAGTCCGAGAGGGGGGGGTCGAGTTGTCGGCGGGTGAGATCGCTCGAGGAGGCATGGGCGCAGGCCTCATCGTCGCCAGTTGCTCCGATGGGGTTCGATGGCCGCGAGTGGGTCGAGGAGGTTCAGCGGGTCGATGAGGACCTGCGTCTCGGTTTCGGGCTGCGCGCAGGCAGCGCGGCGCGTCAGGGCCAAGGTAGATCGTGCCAACAAGACGTGGCTCTACTGGGCGGCCAACGCCAAGTGGCGGTCATCCTTGCAGGCAGCAATTGATTGACGGCGCAGCTGGACGACGAGCGCAAGCCACGCGCGATCTTCGCCCAGGAGCACCGCGCCAAGGAGGTTGAGAGGATCCGCTCGGCATCTCCCTGGCTAGTCGGGCGCGGGCTAGACGGTGTCTTCGGCATGATGCGCAGCGCTGGACCCACGTCCGTGGAAAGCCCAGGAGGCGCGCTCGCGGCCCATTGCCTCGCATGTGCCTTTCGTCGGGGCGAGCCTAGGGAAGTTCGAGGTCGCGGCGCAGGTCGGGCACCGCCTAGGGATCGTCAAGGCCAACGTGTATTTTTCTCGAGGCATGCGCGTCGTCTCGCCCTGCGGCCATGCGTGGACTTCGGAGAAGCGGACGTTCCGGGATCGGCTCGGCGATCTCGGCCGCGCCCTGCGCCGATCGACGGTTCCACGCGTCGTCGGCGGAGGCTGGGGCGACGCGCCCGAGGATGCACCCTTGTCCAGGTAGTGCCAGATCCTTTGGGCCGCGCTCATCGCCCCCGCGGGCGCCGCGGGCCCCCGCGGGCCCGCGCTCGCTCCCCAGGGCGCAGGCTGGGCCACATCGTGATCAGC